CACCTTTATTATTAGTCATCATCAATGAAATGCCGTCGTCGTGGAGCACGGTTCTCACGGCTAAAGTGGAGAGTTATTTGCCTATTCAAAGAGATAGGCAAATAATAATTTAAAGAAAAAAAAACCATAGTAATAATAAAACATACTGTTTAGTTCCGTCAAACAAAAGGACCTCAGAACCCACGCAGTTAGATATAAAATTATATGGCTATAACTGTTTTGGTTGTCTATATAGTTATTCGATTTCTTCTTTGTAAATTTTAAGGTGGGCCTATAAATACAAAACACATAGATTTTGTGGCCTTTTGTTCAAAGATTTTAGTTGTTCTTTGACCCTCAAACTAAAAACTATAAAATAAAGAAGGCCCAGTTATTCATAAGTCAACAATGGTTAATTTCTATGAACTGCAAATTTGTTTTGATGATCAACATTTTTCAAATTTCAATAAATACTGAACTGTTTCAGCTAAAGCAATCAGCTCAGTTTCAGTAGGTACTAGATAAAGCAGCACAATTTTGCTACCTTGAAATTATTGTAATATGTAGGTATTGACTTTCTGTTTCTTCTAAATAACTTTATAATCTCTTTGACCCAAAATTCTCCTGTGGATCGTTTCTACCCAGAAATCTACAAAAAAAAACATCTCTCACAAATTCATTTCCAGTCAGATTCATTTGAATTTACTATCAGTTTTGGATCTTTTAACATTGGACAATTTTCAAAATTAAAACTTTTCAAAATTCCTTACAAATATCTCTCTTGATTTCACCATAGTTATAGTCTGTCTATACAAAACCTATTACGAATTGAGACTTATTTTATTTGTTCTTCCATTTGGTTTTTGGTGAATACCTACTTATTTTATATACAGGGTGTCCCATAAGTCATTCTCGTATTTGTTTTATTTCTCAGCTTCTTGTTTGTAGTTTTGTTTATCTTTTTAATCTTCTATAATCACCACAACTTTGGTTTCATTGCTCGTCTCTATTCCTTCATGTTTATAATAAAATTCATTCCATTAAAAACCACATTTGTTACGCTATTATAATTTTTTGATCTTTCGAAGTAGGCACCCTAATAAAATCTATGATTCTTAAATCTTAGATTCTGGAATCGACGACAGAGTAGGTATTCAATACTGAAAACTTTGACTACAAGACACTCTGAAGACTCAATACTTTGATCTGAGAATCATAAAACATCAAGTCAAAAGATTTTGAAGTGTTTCATAACTGAAATTGTTGAAAAACTTCACAATTCTGAAGACCTTTGAGTCAAAAATCTTGGTTCAAAGTTAATACTGACACCCGAAGTGAATACAATCTACGATTCTAAAATCTCAGATTCTGGAATTTTCGAATAAGTACTCAACACTAAAAACTTTAACTACAAGATACTCTGATAAGACTCAAGACTATCTAAGAACCATGAAAAATCAAGTTAAAAGATTTTGAAGTGCCTCATAACTGAACCTGCTAAAAATCTCACAACTCTGAGAATCTTTGACTTTTGAGCCAAATTCTCGGTTCAAAGTTAAATACGGACACCCGAGGTGAATAAAATCTACGATTCTAAAATCTTAGATTTTGGAATTTTCGAATAAGTAGGTACTTAATACTGAAAAATCTAACTACAAGACACTTTGATAAGACTCAAGACTATCTGAGAAGCATGAAAAATCTAGTCAAAAGATTTTGAAGTGTCTCATAACTGAACCTGCTAAACTTCTTACAACTCTGAGGATCTTTGACTTTTGAGTCAAAATTCTCGGTTCAAAATTAAATACTGACACCCGAAGTGCATAAAATCTACGATTCTAAAATCTCAGATTCTGGAATTTTCGAATAAGTACTCAACACTAAAAACTTTAAATACAAGATACTCTGATAAGACTCAAGACTATCTAAGAACCATGAAAAATCAAGTCAAAAGATTTTGAAATGTCTCATAACTGAACCTGCTAAAAATCTCACAACTCTGAGAATCTTTGACTTTTGAGCCAAATTCTCGGTTCAAAGTTAAATACGGACACCCGAGGTGAATGAAATCTACGATTCTAAAATCTTAGATTTTGGAATTTTCGAATAAGTAGGTACTTAATACTGAAAAATCTAACTACAAGACACTTTGATAAGACTCAAGACTATCTGAGAAGCATGAAAAATCTAGTCAAAAGATTTTGAAGTGTCTCATAACTGAACCTGCTAAACTTCTTACAACTCTGAGGATCTTTGACTTTTGAGTCAAAATTCTCGGTTCAAAATTAAATACTGACACCCAAAGTGCATAAAATCTACGATTCTAAAATCTCAGATTCTGGAATTTTCGAATAAGTACTCAACACTAAAAACTTTAACTACAAGATACTCTGATAAGACTCAAGACTATCTAAGAACCATGAAAAATCAAGTTAAAAGATTTTGAAGTGCCTCATAATTGAACCTGCTAAAAATCTCACAACTCTGAGAATCTTTGACTTTTGAGCCAAATTCTCGGTTCAAAGTTAAATACGGACACCCGAGGTGAATGAAATCTACGATTCTAAAATCTTAGATTTTGGAATTTTCGAATAAGTAGGTACTTAATACTGAAAAATCTAACTACAAGACACTTTGATAAGACTCAAGACTATCTGAGAAGCATGAAAAATCTAGTCAAAAGATTTTGAAGTGTCTCATAACTGAACCTGCTAAACTTCTTACAACTCTGAGGATCTTTGACTTTTGAGTCAAAATTCTCGGTTCAAAATTAAATACTGACACCCAAAGTGCATAAAATCTACGATTCTAAAATCTCAGATTCTGGAATTTTCGAATAAGTACTCAACACTAAAAACTTTAACTACAAGATACTCTGATAAGACTCAAGACTATCTAAGAACCATGAAAAATCAAGTCAAAAGATTTTGAAATGTCTCATAACTGAACCTGCTAAAAATCTCACAACTCTGAGGATCTTTGACTTTTGAGTCAAAATTCTCGGTTCAAAATTAAATACTGACACCCGAAGTGCGTAAAATCTACGATTCTGAAATCTTAGATTCTGCAATTTTCGAAGAAGTACTCAATACTGGAAACTCTAGCTACAAGACACATTAATAAGACTCAAGACTATCTGAGAACCATGAAAAATTTACTCAAAAGATTTTAAAGTATCTCATAACTGAACCTGCTAAAAATCTCACAACTCTGAAAATCTTTGACTTTTGAGTCAATTCTTGGTTCAAAGTTAATACTGACACCTGAAGTGAATAAAATCTACGATTCTAAAATCCCAGATTCTGCAATTTTCGAATAAGTACCTACTCAATACTGAAAACTCTAACTACAAGACACTTTGATAAGACTCAAGACTATCAGAGCACCATGAAAAATCAAGTCAAAAGATTTTGAAGTGTCTCATAACTGAACCTGCTAAAAATCTCACAACTCTGAGGATCTTTGACTTTTGAGTCAAAATTCTTGGTTCAAAGTTAATACTGACACCCGAAGTGAATACAATCTACGATTCTAAAATCTTAGATTCTGGAATTTTCGAATAAGTAGGTACTTAATACTGAAAACTCTAACTACAAAACACTTTGATGAGACTCAAGACTATCTGAGAACCATGAAAAATCAAGTCAAAAGATTTTGAAGTGTCTCATAACTGAACCTGCTAAAGATCTCACAACTCTGAGAATCTTTGACTTTTGAGCCAAATTCTCGGTTCAAAGTTAAATACGGACACCCGAAGTGAATAAAATCTACGATTCTAAAATCTTAGATTCTGGAATTTTCGAATAAGTACTCAATATTGAATACTCTAACTACAAGACACTTTGATAAGACTCAAGACTATCTGAGAACCATGAAAAATTTACTCAAAAGATTTTAAAGTGTCTCATAACTGAACCTGCTAAAAATATCACAACTCTGAAAATCTTTGACTTTTGAGTCAAAATTCTTGGTTCAAAGTTATTACTGACACCCGAAGTGAATAAAATCTAACTTTCTGAAATCTTAGATTCTGGAATTTTCGTACTCAATACTGAAAACTCTAACTACAAGACACTTTGATAAGACTCAAGACTATCTAAGAACCATGAAAAATCAAGTCAAAATATTTTCAGGTGCCTCATGACTGAAACTGCTGAAACACTAAGAATTCTGAGGATCTTTGAGTCAAAATTCTTGGTTCAAAGTTAATGCTGACATCCGTTAATAAAATCTATGATTCGATTTTGAAATCTTCGAATAAGTAGAGTTCTTCAGTAGGTATTGCATAATCTATTCCCTGGTATTGTATATGTCCCTAGATCAAGAATTTCTTTGATTTCAAATCAAACTTACCTCTAAATTGTTTTGGAATATGTCAAATTGCTGATGTACGAATTCTGCTAAAAATTCTTCTTGTTTTCTAGCATCAAGAATTTTCATTTCATCTTTTCCTTGGAATTAGAACTTTTTGTATTTACCAAATTTCTAGAGATTGAGCTAAATTTTAGCCCAATGGTTGATTTGAAAATTATTATTCTCCTGTATTCCCATGCTTCTTATTGTTTAAATAAAATAATGTTCTAAGTCGAACGTTTATGCTCTGATAAAGGTCGGGTTTCGCCCATATGAGCGAAAACAAAGAAATGCATAACGTGTTCGGTTCTCTGATACGAATCTTCTTTTGCGTTTTAACGCCCATTATAAGTTTAAAACAGGCTTTTTCAATGACATTTTTTACTAAATTGGATCACAATTACTTATGGTAATTAAGTTGGTACGCTTTTAATTAATATTGACAGACTCGAAGGGGTTTTTGTACGAATTTTTTGTTTGTGAAAGCCACACTAGAATACGTAAACATTTTTTTTTCTAAGTAAATATTAAAACAACCGTTTTATGCATTATTAAAATATGTTAACTGCCAAGTTTTTTCTATAATATGCAATTATGATTTACATGTGCCCCTATATATTATAAATATGCATATTTAATATGTTAATCTATTTTATTTATTTTTCCAGTTTATAATGTGAAAACCATGGCATCTTGCACTACAGATAGTGGAACAGAGACTCTATTTTCCGATGATTCGCCTTGCGAATTGCTGCATTCGCCCAATAATGCTTGTTCGGGAGATGAAAGACTTTGTCCAAGTAGACAAAATGAGGATGGCATATCTATTAACAGTAAACTGGCACCGCCGAATATCCAACCCTATAGTGGTGTATTGGAAAAAGTAAGTAGGAATTGTCAGTTTGAACAAGCTTACAGCATATTTTGGATTTACATATTAAGTATTTTTCATCTAAGAGATTCCAACACCAATGAATCTTCCAAAAACTTTGGTCTCCAAAACCAATGAATCTTCTCCATTTTTCAAACTTTGATCTGTACCAATTCCATTAAGATTCCAAAAGCAACAAATCTTATTCTACAAGGTTTTGTGGCATATTCAAGACTTTCATTTTTACTTTGGGAGACTCTGAAATCAAATAGTTTTCTTCTACAAAGCTTGTGTAGCATTCTTTGGATCTTCATCTTAAGTGTTTTCTTCAGGAGACTGTAGTGAATCTTGTTCTGCAAAGTTAATAGCAACTTTTATACTTTTGTATAGACTTTTGTCATTACAGGAGACTTTTGAAACAATGACTTTTCTCTTGCAAAACTTGTAACATTTGTTTAGAATCTCATTTGTAACATTTTCAAAGTAAGTACTGCTTCATTTTCTGAAAAGCTAACAGCATATTTTGGATTTAAATCCTGAGCATTTTCTCTAAGAGATTCCAACAACAATGAATCTTCTTCCAGAAACTTTGTAGCAATCTTTGGTCTCCAAAACCAATGAATGTTCTTTCATTTTTCCAACAAATTCCATTAAGAATCAATAAATCTTTTTCTACAAAGCTTGCAGCATTCTAAACAAACTAGTTCATTCATTTGGCCAGCCAATTTACAAATTACCAAAAAAACGACTAGAGATTTCGCTGACGGGATAAAAAGTCCGCAATGTCTGGGTCCGAATACACGCAAGACAGACTCCGTTTTAACATCGTTCCGTTTTTGTTTCGGTACCCAATGGTACCTCGATCGCGAGTTACATTTTACGTTCCCACGATCGGCGACTGAAAAGAGCACGAGCCTAACGAATCGACAACCAACAGAAACTTAACATTCGTTCCTGCTGATACGGTATTTAGCCCATTGTTTTGCAAAATTAATCTGAGTTTTAACTAGGCCCATATTTATGGATCAATAATGTTTTCTGCAATAATTAATGCAGAAATGTAATAATAAAATATAATTGTGAAATGCAAAATTCTTTCACACGGAATACTCTTTACATTTTGTAAGAAGGTATCTCTCCCATACAATAATATGTAATGGATTTCTAACATGATTACGTTTATTCTTGACCGACAATCACCTTCATTTCGTTATTATAATGATCTTGTCCAGAGATGAACCTGATGGTCTGTGTAAAAAGCCTTTACAAATTTCAATTTATTTATTCCAGGGCAAAGTAGTAATAAAACCAATAGCTTTTAAACCATCGGCACCAAATAATAATAATATGATGCCTTCGAGTCGATTTAGTGACCGATACGGATCAACACCTATACTTACCAGGCCTGGTTCAAGAACCACCATGTATGGAAGTACGTATTTAAATGTATTTAAATTTGCTCTGGTTTGATTAATTTTATTTGCAGGTACCAGTGATATTCACAATTCTTCAAATATACTATCCCTAGACCGAAAACTACGTTCCTCGTGTACTTCTAATAATTCTTCACCACCGTTGGCCATGAGTTCCTTACCGTCGATACCTCACACGCACAAATTACTGAATTACGATAGTTTGGAAAGTGTCAGAAAAAGTTCCAATAGTAATTGTTCCTTTTTGTAAGAATTATCATTATAACCTATACAAAACGGTACTTTATTATTATTTTTACAGAAATAAAAACTCCTCCTATCGTCTTTCATCATCAAACATCGGACGCATTTTAGACTTGACACCATCTCCAAGTGACTCTGGAGTGTCGGAACTGGAAGCAGCACTCAGAGATCGCGATTCAGAGCTGGCTTACCTAAGACAAACAATGGAGCACAACGAACAAGTTATATTCCGAGTGTATCAAGAAAAGGAAAAGGTATTTGGGTTTTTGTGTAAAGGAGACAGAGATAAATGATTTGAATGTTTGTAGGTTTGGGAACGAGAACTTCACAGGATTAAATCGGTTCACGAGGAGCGATTGCGTTCGAGTGCGCAAAAAGCTTTGAAATTGGAACAATTGTTGATGATGCAAACTTATCAGCAGAATCAGAACAAGAAACAACTTTTAGGTAAAAATTATTGTATCACTATAACCAGTCATAATGATGAATCTATGTCAATAACTGTTACAGTTTTCTCATGAATTTCCAATTATCCTACCAGATGTCCATCTCTCTATTCTCTTCTTCACAAAGTTTCTTTTTATAAGAACTCTCCTTGTAGTCCTTGTCCTTATATTTTCAGTTTGGACATCTCTCATGTTCCTTATGGTAGCATCTAACATACAATCTTACTTTCATCAGCCTCTCCTTTCTTATTGTCTTACCAGAAATAGTGTGAGCATAATTTTTTCCTCTAATCATCTTTCAACACAACAGGGAGTTAATAATTCTGGATTTCAATCCTCAAAGTTTTGGCTGGTTGTACAGACCTGAAACTTCTTTGATGATTGTTGATATGTGGCTCTAGGGAGCTCTTGCAGAAATTCTTGGTCAATTACCAATCAAGATCTGGGTGTAGGTTCTCGGAGACTTAAAATATATTCCTAAAGGATATTGGAGATATTGCTTCTTCAACTGTAAACTTCTTCAACAATATTCCGTTTTGGTGGATACTAAAGCCAAATTTGTTCAAAAAAATGTCAACTCTAATTCGGATGAAACCAAATTTTGGATTTTTCCAAGAAGATTTTAAAGTTTTGGAATCCACAATGGATTTCTCATTGATTTTTCTCAAGATACAATGTCATCATCTCCAGGAGCTTTTCCAGACTTCATAACATTCATCAAATTTTCAATTTTTTCTGTTGGTATTTCTTACTGAAGTTAAGAGGCAAATCAAAGTGTTCATCTTATCATGAAATTCTTTGGAGAAATCTTGAATGATAATCAATATTTTGTTCTTTATTTTTCATTTTTTATAAACTTGAGGCTTCCTTTATGTTCTATGACCCTTGTATCTGTGTTTGTGTTGAATGTCTTCCAATTTTCCACTCTTCGGTTCTATACTGTCTTTCAACCAGTTGGTTTTCTTAGCATGTGGTTTCTTGTTTCTTGTAGCTACCTACTTACAGAAGGTTTTCTACTTATTGAGAATTTTGATTAAAAAGTCCTCAACTCAGAATTATTGTGAGTTTTTCTGCAATTTCAGTTATGAGACACTCCAGAATCTATGGCTTGATTCTTCATGGTTCTCAGATAAAGTCTTGAGATTCCAGTTTTTTCAGTATTGAGTATTAATTCGAATATCCCTGAATCGGCGATTTTAAAATCATCCCAGGATAATGGAGCTATGACTTTTACAATCCGATAAATACACCGAGTGATATTTCTGCCTTAGAGTCAATAGTCTAATTTTTGATTTTTTTTCTGCAAATCTGGGAAACGTGGATGAACCAAATATTTTTTTATTTATTAAGGAAGCTTTCAGCTTCAAGATACTGAAATTTTATGGAAAAATAGTCCAGGATAACGGAGCTATGATTTTTACAATCCGATAAACACACTGAGTGATATTTCTGCCTTAAAGTCAATGGTCTAATCTTTAATTATTTTTCTGAAAATCTGGGAAACCTGGAGGAACCAAATATTTTTTTTATTTATCAAGGAAACTTCCAGCTTCAACATACTGGAATTTTATGGAAAAATAGCCCAAGATAACGGAGCTATGATTTTTGCAATCCGATAAATACACCGAGTGATATTTCTGCCTTAGAGTCAATAGTCTAATTTTTGATTTTTTTTCTGCAAATCTGGGAAACGTGGAGGAACCAAATATTTTTTTATCTATTAAGGAAGCTTTCAGCTTCAAGATACTGAAATTTTATGGAAAAATAGCCCAAGATAACGGAGCTATGATTTTTGCAATCCGATAAACACACTGGGTAATATTTCTGCCTTAGAGTCAATGGTCTAATTTTTGATTTTTTTTCTGGAAATCTGGAAAATCTGGAGGAACCAGATATTTTTTTATCTATTAGGAAAGCTTTCAGCTTCAACATACTGAAATTTTATCGCAAAATAGTTCAGGATAACGGAGCTATAATTTTTACAATCTGTTAAACACACTGAGTGATATTTCTGCCTTAGAGACAATGGTCTAGTTTTTGTTTTTTTTTATGGAAATCTGGAAAATTTGGAGAAACCAAATATTTTTTTGTTTACTAAGGAAGATTTCAGCTTCAAAATACTCAAATTTCATGGAGAAATAGCCTAGGATAACGGAGATATGATTTTTGCAATCCGATAAACACACTGAGTGATATTTCTGCATTGAAGTCTAGGTTCTAATTTTTGACTTTTTTCTGGAAATCTGAGAAACCTTCAGGAATCAACTATTTTTTTATTCACTTAGGAAACTCTCAGCTTCAACATACTGGAATTTCATAGAAAAATCGCCCAGCGTTACGGAACTATGATTTTCACAATACGATTAACACACTGAGTGATATTTCTGCCTTAGAGTCAATGGTCTAGTTTTTGATTTTTTTCTGAAAATCTGTGAAACTTAGAGAAACCAAATATTTTTTTATTTATTAAGGAAGATTTTAGCTTCAACATACTCAAATTTCATGGAGAAATAGCCCAGAATAACGGAACTATGATTTTTACAATCCGATAAACACACTGAGTGATATTTCTGCATTGAAGTCTAGATTCTAATTTTTGACTTTTTTCTGGAAATCTGAGAAACCTTGAGGAATCAACTATTTTTTTATTCACTTAGGAAACTTTCAGCTTCAACATACTGGAATTCCATAGAAAAATCGCCCAGCGTTACGGAACTATGATTTTCACAATACAATTAACACACTGAGTGATATTTCTGCCTTAGAGTCAATGGTCTAGTTTTTGATTTTTTTCTCAAAAATCTGTGAAACTTAGAGAAACCAAATATTTTTTTATTTATTAAGGAAGAGTTCAGCTTCATCATACTCAAATTTCATGGAGAAATAGCCCAGAATAACGGAACTATGATTTTTACAATCCGATAAACACACTGAGTGATATTTCTGCATTGAAGTCTGGGATCTAATTTTTGTATTTTTTCCTGGAAATCTGAGAAACTTTGAGGAATCAAATATTTTTTTGTTTACTAAGGAAACTTTTAGCTTCAACATACTGGAATTCCATGAAAAAATAGCCCAGGATTACGGAACTATGATTTTCACAATACGATAAACACACTGAGTGATATTTCTGTCTTAGAGTCAATGGTCTAATTTTTGACTTTTTTTCTGGAAATCTAGGAAACTTGGAAAAACCAAATATTTTTTTATTTATTAGGAAAGCTTCCAGCTTCAACATACTCAAATTTGATGGAGAAATAGCCCAGGATAATGGAGCTATGATTTTTACAATCCGATAAACACACTTAATGATATTTCTGCATTGAAGTCTGGGGTCTATTTTTCGACTTTTTTTCTGAAAATCTGAGTAACCTTGAGGAATCGAATATTTTTTTGTTTATTAAGGGTACTTTCAGCTTCAACATACTGGAATTCCATGAAAAAATAGCCCAGGATTAGGGAACTATGATTTTCACAATACGATAAACACACTGAGTGATATTTCTGCCTTAGAGTCAATGGTCTAGTTTTTGATTTTTTTCTGAAAATCTGTGAAACTTGGAGAAACCAAATATTTTTTCATTTATTAAGGAAGATTTCAGCTTCAAAATACTCAAATTTCTTGGAGAAATAGCCCAGAATAACGGAGCTATGATTTTTACAATCCGATAAACACACTGAGTGATATTTCTGCATTGAAGTCTGGGGTCTAATTTTTGTCTTTTTTCCTGGAAATCTGAGAAACCTTGAGGAATCAAATGTCTTTTTGTTTACTAAGGAAATTATCAGCGTCAACATACTGGAATTCCATGGAAAAATAGCCCAGGATTACGGAACTGTGATTTTCACAATACGATAAACACACTGAGTGATATTTCTGCCTTAGAGTCAATGGTCTAATTTTTGTTTTTTTTCCTGGAAATCTCGGAAACTTGGAGAAACCAAATATTTTTTTATTTAGTAGGAAGGTTCTCAGCTTCAACATACTCAAATTTCATGGAGAAATAGCCCAGGATAACGGAGCTATGATTTTTACAATCCGATAAACACACTGAGTGATATTTCTGCATTGAAGTCTGGGGTCTAGTTTTTGACTTTTTTTCTGAAAATCTGAGAAACCTTGAGGAATCAAATATTTTTTTGTTTATCAAGGAAACTTTCAGCTTTAACATACTGGAATTCCATGAAAAAATAGCCCAGGATTAGGAAACTATGATTTTCACAATACCATAAACACACTGAGTGATATTTCTGCCTTAGAGTCAATGGTCTAGTTTTTAATTTTTTTTCTGAAAATCTGGGAAACTTGGAGAAACCAAATATTTTTTTATTTATTAAGAAAGCTTTCAGCTTCAGCATACTCAAATTTTATGGAAAAATAGCCTACGATTACGGAACTATTATTTTCAGAATACGATAAACACACTGAGTGATATTTCTGCCTTAGAGACAATGGTCTAATTTTGGATTTTTTTTTCTGGAAATCTGGGAAATTTGGAGAAACCAAATATTTTTTTATTTATTAGGGAAGCTTTCAGCTTCAACATACTCAAATTTTATGGAGAAATAGCCCAGGATAACGGAGCGATGATTTTTACAATCCTATAAACTTACTGAGTGATATTTCTGCATTGAAGTCTGGGGTCTAATTTTTGATTTTTTTTTCTGGAAATCTGAGAAACCTTAAAGAATCAAATATTTTTTTATTTACTAAGGAAACTTTCAGCTTCAACATACTGGAATTCCATGAAAAAATAGCCCAGGGTTACGGAACTATGATTTTCACAATACGATAAACACACTGAGTGATATTTCTGCCTTAGAGTCAATGGTCTAATTTTGGATTTTTTTTCTGGAAATCTGGAAAACTTGGAGAAACCAAATATATTTTTATTTATTAAGGAAGCTTCAACATACTCAAATTTTATGGAAAAATAGCACAGGATTACGGAACTATGATTTTCACAATACGATAAACACACTGACTGATATTTCTGTCTTAGAGTCAATGGTCTTATTTACGATTTTTTTTTCTGGAAATCTAAGAAACCTGGATGAACCAAATATTTTTTTGTTTATTAGGGTAGCTTTCAGCTTCAACATACCGAAATGTTATGGAGAAATAGCTCAGGATAACGGAGCTATGATTTTTACAATCCGATAAACACACTGAGTGATATTCCTGCCTTAGAGTCAATGGTCTAATATTTGATTTTTTTCTGGAAATCTCGGAAACTTGGAGGAACCAAATATTTTTTTATTTATTTAGGAGGCTTTCAGCTCTAACAAACTGAAATTTCATGGAAAAATAGCCCAGGATAACGGAGCTATAATTTTTACAATCCAATATACACACTGAGTGATATTTCTGCTTTAGAGTCAATGGTCTAATTTTTTATTTTTTTTTCTGGAAATCTGAGAAACCTGGAGCAATCAAATATTTTTTCATTTATTAAGGAACCTTCCAGCTTCAACATTCTGAAATTTAATGGAAAAATATCTCAGGAATTAGATTAGAACCCAGAATTTTTTTCTCAAAATTTTTCAGAATCGTGATTTTGTCAGCAATTTCAGTCATGAGACACTTCAAAATCAATATTATTTTATTCAAATTCAATAGATCTTATAAACTAAAAATTATCTATTCCAGCTGAAGTGCACCGAGCAACTTTCGAAAACGACAAATTCAAAGAGGAAGTGACCGACTTGAGAAATCGCCTTGAAGAGACTGAATGGAATTTGTGTCAAAAGACTGGAGAAATAGCACTGCTCAAAACTCAACTAAAGGAATGTCAGGTAAGAATAGCTCAATCACAACCAATTTGAAGTTTCACCAATAATGAACTATTTCAGACTGAACACACATCGAAATGTCAAGAGCTGTTCCAGCTCAGAATAGAGTACAGGGAATTGCACCAACAGTTTGAAGAATTAGAGAATCAACTTAACAAACAGAAAACCCAATACGAAGAAAAAAATAATGAAATTTCTGATTTACATCTCGAACTGGAAACACTTAAGTACCAAGTTAAAAAATACCAGAGCATTGATAGTATTGATAAAGCAAGGTAAAACATGTTGTAATTTTTATAATCTTATAGTTTGTAACATATATTTGTTTAGGTTTGAAGATATTTCGGAAAACGAGAGACTCAAAGCCGAAATAAAAGAGCTACGCGAAGAACTTTCCGATTTCTCCATAAGCGACTACAGTAACGTACAACCGGGCCGTCAAAAGCCACAAATCTACGAAATAGAGCACATCGAAAACCAAGAAAATTGCGACTCTTTAGAAGACCTAGAAATACAAAAACTAAACGAAGATTACATAGATTTTCACGAAAACGAAAACGAAGTGGGCCGGTTGAGAAGACAGCTAACAATGAAATCTAGAGAGTTTGAAAAGGAGAAGTTAATATGGGCTCAAGAAAAAGAAAAGGTTTTGAGATATCAGCGTCAGCTACAAATCAACTATATGGAAATGTACAAACGCAGTCAAAGGTTTGAAGGGGAACTGGAAAATCTGAGCTTGGAATTAGCTGTTTTGAGAAGCAAAACTACAAAGGAATTACAAGCTACTACGCTATAAACAATTTGCTTTTTTTTTGCCAATTCTTTTGTAAATTTTATTTGTATTGTATATAGGTTTTTATATTATTAATTATATGCCATGATTGCACTTTACCATTAAATGTTTGAAATGCCGAAGAAAAAAAATAAATTATTGTTTAATGTAATTTATTGGGTTTTTAATTCACGCGTATTAGTTTATTGAAAAATAGCTATATGTATTTTGGTGCTTTCAGGGCCGCCGCTATACCAGATGTGCGGCGTGTTCAGAACACACATGCGACAAGAGTGTCGCGCATCTGTAGTGACGTCACAAGGGTATCGGGGCTTGTCAATAATAGCATTTTCAAAACGTGCAAGTCTTTCAAATCACTTTCTATCTGGGAATATTGTAAATTACAGGCCATTTAGAGCGTAATAAGAGCTACAAATGCTGAAAATTTTAATGCCATTTTTTTCTGGAAATCTGAGAAAGTTGAAGGAACCAAATATTTTTTTTATTTATTAAGGAAGTTTCCAGCTTCAATATACTGAAATTTTATGGAGAAATAATCCAGTATAACAGAGCCATGATTTTTACAATCCGATAAACACACTGAGTGACATTTCTGCCTTACAGTCAATGGTCTAATTTTTGATTTTTTTTCTGGAAATCTGGAAAACCTGGAGGAATCAAATATTTTTTTGTTTATCAAAAAAGCTTCCAGCTTCAACATACTGAACTTTTATGGAAAAATAGCTCAGGATAACGGAGCTATGATTTTTATAATCCGATAAACACACTGAGTGATATTTCTGCCTTGGAGTCAATGGTCTGATTTATGATTTTTTTTATGGAAATCTGGGAAACCTGTAGGAACCAAATATTTTTTTGTTTATTAAGAAAGCTTCCAGCTTCAACATACTGAAATTTTATGGTAAAATAGCTCAGGATAACGGAGCTATGATTTTTATAATCCGATAAACACACTGAGTGATATTTCTGCCTTGTAGTCAATGGTCTGATTTATAATTTTTTTTAATGAAAATCTGGGAAACCTGGAGGAACCAAATATTTTATGTCTATTAAAAAAGCTTCCAGCTTCAACATACTGAAATTTCATGCGAAAATAGCTCAGGATAACGGAGCTATGATTTTTACAATCCGATAAACACACTGAGTGAAATTTCTGCCTTGGAATCAATGGTCTAATTTTTGATTTTTTTTCTGGAAGTCTGGTAAACCTGGAGAAACCAAATATTTTTTTTATCTATTGAGGAAGCTTCCAGCCTTAACATACTGAAATTTTATGGAAAAATAATCCAGGATAACGAAGCTATGATTTTTACAATCCGATAAACACACTGAGTGATATTTCTGCCTTGGAGTCAATGGTCTAATTTTTGATTTTTTTTCAGAAAATCTAGGAAACCTGGAGAAATCAAATATTTTTTTATCAATAAAAAAAGCTTTCACCTTTAAAATACTGAAATTTTATGAAAAAACAGCTCAGGATAACAGAGCTATGATTTTTACAATCTGATTAATACACTGAGTGATATTTTTGCCTTAGAGTCAATGGTCTGATTTTTAATTTTTTTTCTGGAAATCTGGGAAACCTGGAGGAACCAAATATTTTTTTGTTTATTAAGGTGGCTTTCAGCCTCAACGTGCTGAAATTTTGTGGAAAAATAGCTCAGGATAACGGAGCTATGATTTTTACAATCCGATAAAGTCAATGAGTGATATTTCTGCCTTGGAATCGATGGTCTGATTTTTGATTTTCTTTCTTTAAATCTAGGAAACCTAGAGGAACCAAATATTTTTTTGTTTATGGAGGAAGCTTTCAGCTTCAGCATACTGAAATTTTATGGAAAAATAGCCCAAGATAAGGAAACTCTGAATTTCATAATTTGATAAACACACTGAGTGATATTTCTGCCTTAGAGCCAATGGTCTAATTTTTGATTTTTTTTCTTGAAATCTGAGAAACCTGGAGAAACCAGATATTTTTTTATTTATTGAGGAAGCTTGCAGCTTTAACGTACTGGAATTTTATGGAAAAATAGCTCAGAATAACTTAGCTATGATTTTTACAATCCGATAAATACACTGAGTGATATTTTTGCCTTGGAGTCAATGGTTTAATTTTTGATTTTTTTTCTAAAAATCTGTAAAACTTGGAGGAACCAAATATTTTTTTGTTAATTAAGGAAGCTTTCAGCTTCAACGTACTGAAATTTCATGAAAAAATAGCTCTGGATAACGGAGCTATGATTTTTACAATCCGATAAACACATTCAGTGATAATTCTGCATTAGAGTCAATGGTCCAATTTTTGATTTTTTTTCTAGAAATCTAGGAAACCTACAAGAACCAAATATTTTTTTATTTATTGATGAAGCTTTCAGCTTCAACATACTGAAATTTCATGGAAAAATAGGTCGGGATAACGGAGCTATGATTTTTACAATCCGATAAACATACTCAGTGATAATTCTGCATTAGAGTCAATGGTCCAATTTTTTATTTTTTTTCTAAAAATCTGTGAAACTTGGAGGAACCAAATATTTTTTTGTTAATTAAGGAAGCTTTCAGCTTCAACATACTGAAATTTCATGGAAAAATAGCTCGGGATAACGGAGCTATGATTTTTACAATCCGATAAACACACTCAGTGATAATTCTGCATTAGAGTCAATGGTCCAATTTTTGATTTTTTTTCTAGAAATCTGTGAAACCTGGAGGAACCAAATTTTTTTTTTTAATTAATGAAGCTTTCAGCTTCAACATACTGGAATTTTATGGAAAAATAGCCCAGGATAACGAAGCTATGAATTTTATAATTTCATGAATATACTGAGTGATATTTCTGCCTTAGAGTCAATGGTCTAATTTTTGATTTTTTTTCTTGAAATATGAAAAACCTGGAGGAACCAATTATTTTTTTATTTATTAAGGTAGCTTTCAGCTTCAACATACCGAAATTTTATGGAAAAATAATCCAGGATAAGGGAGCTATGATTTTCAGAATCTGATAAGCACACTCAGTGATAATTCTACTTTAGAGTCAATGGTCTAATTTTTAATTTTTTTTCTGGAAATCTGAGTCATGGTCGTGAATAATTGCCCATATCTTTGGTACATTTCAAGGAAATGGAAATAAATTATACACCATTGGAAAGAGCATCAAATTTTCTATAAATCTGTGCAAAATTGAGTTTGATAGCTCAAATGGTTTTTGCGCAATTGAGCCTCAAAGTTGACTTCTAGTCAAAATTTTGTCAAAAATTTCAAGCTCAATTTGCTCGAAAAATATGAATCTGGGAATATTGTGAATAACAGGCCATTTAGAACTTGATAAGAGTTACAAATGCTGGAAATTTCAATGCAATTTGCCCAACGGTTACCGAGCAATCGAAGTTTGAAGATTTTGAAATTAAAATTCAATTTTTTGAAGTAAAACTTCTTAGGCGGCGTCTGATATTTGGAGAGAATAAAGAGTGATCTGAAAGACGCGTCACGTTCTAGCAAATTTCGTTACACGAGAGAGAAGAAAGTTGAAAGTTGTAACAGAGAGACAGAGAAAGACAGCCAATGACATCCGACGAACGATTGACATAAACCAAGGATTTTAAACAAAGAGGATAGCCTATTATATTGTCAAGCGCCGATACCCTTGTGACGTCCCTACAATCTGGGAACAAAGGCGGCTAACATCACAGTTTCTAACATTCTAGCTGCAGCCCTGTGTGCTTTTATCACCTACTAAGTTTTGTTCCATAATTAATTGAAATTTCTAGAATACATGATTATTTAAAACTTTGATTTAGGATAAAGCTTGGTAACTTTCAAAGGCAATTCGCCTTCGTTACCCTTGAATTTCTGACCGAAATTCTTGGGAAAACCAACTCGATGAGGCGCCTCAGCAATGTTGGTAATTTTCGTATTTTTCCTGTACTTGTACCACCAGTATTCAAAGGCCAAAGTAATACAGGCCAGGCCAATTCCGACAAAAATAACTATGAAAACTCCTCCAATATTTTGAATACTGATTCCGTCTGATTGATCATCTGCCTTTTCACATTGTTTCTTTTCTGTATTTTTGTTCCACCAACGTTCTTTTAGTCTTTCTAGTTCACGTCGATTTAAAAGTTGGAGGATTCTAAAAAGAAAATACTTAGGTACTTTCTTATTAGACAATTAGATGGGTTTACTTACGCTGTGTTAAACTGGTCTTTTAAAGGAGAGCCTTGCTGTACAGCAATTGCATAAGGTTTTCGTGAAAACTCATCTCCGACTATTGTAAAGTCACAATTAGTCATTTCTAAGTATTTTATGTCGGTTGCGTCACCCAAATATGCAAAACCTATACAAAAACAGAGTCAATTATCGTTCAATTTTAAATCAAAATAAGACCTTCTGATGATGATTTCGATTCTCTGACTTTCTTAATAGCATCATCCTGACTATCTGGAAGTCCAGCTTCCTTCATGGCTTGCCACATTTTCGTGTACTTGTCCGAAACAGGATAATCCCACACGGCCAGTTTGGCTCTCTCAACATCACTAAGGCTGTCATTTAAGCTCATATCTTTCCAAATTCTACAAATACATGAAAATAGAAACTTAACAAATGACAAGCGATTATCTTACTCGTAAAATCGCGCTTCTATATCGGCCATCCTTTGAAAGTACGTCATTGTGGAACTGCCGTTAACTGGAGCGTATTGAATTTTGTATTGTTTGGAAAGGTCGTCCAGCGATTCGATTGGTGTGTCCAATCTGGACACTGTCAGAAAAGCTGCTAAGTTGGCTGTGTATGAAGCTATGATTATGAAACCGAATAGCCACCATGTTGCTGCTACCAATCGACCTGGAATTGACTCAGAATTATGGAACTTCCTAGTAAAAATTAATATCAAACTTAATATGAGAAGATTTAATTGCTCTAGCGTTTTTGTGATCCAAATTCAAAGGGTTCAATCAGACAATTTTTCCTAATGAAAGAAAGTAAATATAACTTAAGATGTTCAATGTTCCAGAAGCTGAACATTATACATCAAGGAAACTATTATGTTGGACAAATATAAGATACACTTTAGAATCGGAAATTCTGAGTGCTTGTATTGGCTTTTGAACCAAGAATTTTGTTCCATAATTGGTCAGAATCTTGAGTTTTGCAACAGTGTTTTTAGTTATGAGTTGCTTCAAAATCTTTTGACTTGATTTTTCTTGGTTTTCAGATGAAGTCTTGAGTCTTCAGAGTGTCTATCTTATAAGAAGTTATGTAGAAATGTATAAATGTCCGTAGTCCATAGTCTAGTCCAAGATCCTCAGAAGTGTAAGTCTTGATAAGTTAGAGTTTTGCAGTAGTGTCTGGTTTTAAGTTGCTTCCAACTCTTTCTCACTCAAATCTTCACAGTTACAGACAGAATCCTAAATCGGAGTTTCCAGAATCTGAGATTCATTCTAAAATCCTAGATGTCTTTCTTTGAGTATTGAACCATCAGATTTATTTGTGAAGATCACGGAATTGAAATACCAATACAATCAAAATTCTTACCTGAAAGATTTTTGGGTGCTTCTCCGCCACCTTGAGGCGTCAATGACGTCATACAAAACCACAAACACTCTTTCAAATTGAATTCGCGTTTTTCTTCGTCGTCCTTGTACTTTTCCCTGTTATTCTGGTAGCTGTAGGGCGACCAACGATCAAATACCCACATTAGAAAACTGGAAAAAAGTAAGCAAATGTTACGTAGGTACTTGAAATATACCCATACCTAAGTGTCTGTTCTTACCTGGTGAAAAAGTAAGCAGCCAAAATACAAAGCCACACTTCGTTTTCTAAAACAGTCAAAAACTTGAACAAAGACGTAGGAGTTTCTGGCAATTTCATCAAAATCGTTATGCCTACTAAATCGTAATAAGGCACAGTAAAATCTATTACATTTTCACGTTCCGCCATTACTGATAGCGATCCTAAACCTATATCAGCCTTTTTGTCCACCAGATCCTTAATAATTCCATTCCAATTCCCTTTTTCATCCATATTACCAAACATCCCATCAGCAACAGCTTCAATTTCGTAATCAAAATGCAAGATGTTAGCTATTTGATCAATTAAATCGATACAGTAACCTTTGAAACCTTTTGGTGCCTTTTCGTCTCTGTATATAAAAGGCTTTTGCTACAAAACAACATAGATAATGGAAAACTTACCAAGACAACTCCTAGGGTCATATTCTCCGTAGGTACTTCATAAAGCCTGGCTTAGTGGAAACGCTTGGCTTTTTGTGTGACAAAGCCGAGCTTTTCCACTGAGCCAGGTTTTATGAACTACGGAGAATATGATTCTTACCACAACAGTTACAATTTTATAAACCACATCTGCCGTATAATTACTCATATCCTTGGGACTGTTTAAGGTAAGATTATTATCAAATCCTGCTTGCCATACACCAAGCTGAATAGATTTATCTGATGCACTAGACCTAATGTAAACTGCTGCAAGGGCCATGGGGAATTCCATGAAACTCAGACCATTGGATGCTATGTTGAATTGGCCATAGCTAGGAGGCTCAGATGATTCCTATAATATAATTAATATTCATAGAAGCTTACCATACATATAAAGTCACTTACTTTTTGTAAATAGGATCTCAAATTCAAGTTAAATCTTTTAGGGCTGTATTTAGGTTCGTAATCGTCACAAGTTACAAAATTTGTGACGTTGTTTCTCTTCCAAGAACCATCGACTATCATTTCCCTTGAAAAATATTCAATAGATTGTCTATTTGTTTGAAACAATTTTACTTACTTCACAGCTAAAAATGACTTTAAAGCCAAATCGAAATAAAAAGCAGCTTCGATTTCAGGTGTAACGCTGGATAGTTGAAAGGTTGTACCAATATTACGCAGCCTGTCTTGATACTGGGTATTAATTATTGGTTTTGCAAATAAAATAGTGGCATTTTTAACTGAGGCTTTTAAATCACCAGGATCCTAAAAAAATTAGGAGTCAAACCAAATACATTTAGTTTGCAAATAGTTACTTTGGTTAATACATGCCAGGCATACATTCTATTGAAAAGATTCTTCTTTTCAGCGGCTTCCAAAACTATTTTAATTATTTCTAAGCTACCCAAAACAAAAAAATTCTTCAAGTCCAACTTAACTAAATCTTCAAGTTGGTCAGGGATTTTAATAGGATCAACATTAATTTCATCAATCAAATGTCTAGTGGCTACATTTTGTAAAAGGGCTTTGTATTTATGATCCATTACTGCAATGGTTTGTATGTAAGATGATTTAGATTTAAAAAAATGTATTTGTTACCAAAAGAATCATCAAACAAAATAGCGGCGTTGGTAATATTTTGATTCAGAACCAATGTGCGTACCATTTCAGGTATGATATCGCCCGGTGGGGATACTTGGACAAGGTATTCTTCTTCATTTGGTTGTAAATTGCGCCATTGACGCAAGTCGCCTTGTTGACCGTAAGATGCAGTCACTAAATTAATAATTTAATTATGTTTTAGTAAAAATATTTTTAGTTGAATGCCTATTACAACTGAAGAAAAATAATGGTTAGATTTCACTGGAACTAAATTCTATATTTTTTGATGGATTCTGGGCTACAAAATATCCAATTTTCAAGAGGATTGAGCCAGAAACAGTAGCTTTGGGATTTTTCATGATATATGCCTTCTACTCCTAGAGAGCTTCTACATGAATCTTTTTTCATGTCACTCGAAATAACTCGTTTTTTCTCAATGGATTCTGGATAGTTTGGGCTACACTACAAAATACCCAATTTTCAAGAGATTTGAACCAGATTTGGGATTTTTACAAATTTAGGAATTTTCATTATGCCTTCTACTATCATAGAACTTCTATACATGAATCTTTTATGATTTTCCATAATTGCTATCATTCGAAATAACTCGTTTTTCCTTAATGAATTCTGTATAGTTTTAGGTTTTTTACAAATTAGAATTTGCATGATGCCTTCTACTTCTAGAGAGCTTCTACAATAATCTTTGATTTTCTAAAATTGCTGTCACTGGAAATAACTCGTTTCTTCTTAATGGATTCTGGATAGTTTCGGCTACAAAATATGCAATTTTCAAGAAGATTGAGCCCGAAACAGTAGATTTGAGATTTTTACAAATTTAAGAATTTTCATGACGCCTTCTACTCCTAGAGAGCTTCTACATGAATCTTTTTTGATTTTCCAAAATAGTTATCACTCGAAATAACTCGTTTTTTCTTAATGGATTCTGGATAGTTTGGGCTACAAAATATCAAGTTTTCAAGAGAATTGAGCCAGAAACAGTAGATTTGGGATTTTTACAAATTTAAGAATTTTCATAATGCCTTCTACTCCTAAAGAGCTCCTACATGAATCTTTTTTGATTTTCCAAAATTTCTGTCAATCTAAATGTGTACCTAACTCGTTTTTTCCTAACGAATTCTGGATAGTTTAGGTTAGTTTGGGTTAGTTGGCTACAAAATATCCAGTTTTTAAAAGGTTTAAGCCAGAAATAGGTTTAAGCCAGAAACAGATTTGGGATTTTTACAAATTCAAGAATTTTCATGATATTTTCTACTCCTAGAAAGCTTCTACATGATTCTTTGATTTTCCAAAATTGCTGTCACTCGAAATAACTCGTTTTTTCTTAATGGATTCTGAATAGTTTGGGCTACAAAAGGCCTATTCGGGTTTGGAAAAAGTACGGTTCTAGAACGGTCCAGAAGAATCGCACAGTTTATTATTGAAATTCGTGATAGTCGAGTCGTTGTTATTTTGTTGATCAATAAACTGGACGATTGTTTTGAACCGTTCTAGAACCGTCCTTTTTCCAAACCCGAATAGGCCTAAAATATCCAATTTTCAAGAGGATTGAGACAGAATCACTAAATTTGGGATTTTTATAAATTTAGTAATTTGCATGATGCCTTCTACTCCTAGAGAGCTTCAACATGAATCTTAAGGATTTTCCAAAATTGCTTTCACTAGAAATAACTCCTTTTTCCTTCTAGATTTTGGATAGTTTGGGCTACAAAATATCCCATTTTCAAGAGGATTGAGGCAGAAACAGTATATTATTTAGAATTTTCTTGATGCTTTCACGCCTACAGAGGTTCTACATGAATGTGTTTTGATTTTTTAAAAAGTCAAAATTTTGATTATTACTAGCTCTTGATTTTTCCTTAGCTTGATATCATCCATTAGGTATTTTCCAATTCTTGTCAATGATTTATTTTAAGCCACTTGATTTGCAGTCTCCATTGTATTAATTCTGAGTTCTAATTATGTCCTGCAAGGTGGTATCAATTGTAGATCTTTAAAATTGTTGGACATGAAAATGGAAATCTCTAAATGGCGTTTTAAGAACATTTTCAAATTGATTTTACAGGAAAGCATCGCTTTCTCTTGAAAACTAATTCTTTCTAATCTTCTGTAAATGCAAGTTCCACAATGAAAGGAATAAGGATCGCGCCAGTATGCGGGATCCTTAAGACGTTGGATCTAAGGGTAACAGAAACTGAATTCTGGCTTTAAAAAATATGACTACATATATAGCTTAAAAATTTTGAAATGGAATTGAAGAAATCCCGAGGTGATCGCTGGAATTGTCCTTCGTACCTAAGAGCGGAGGTACAAAAATCTCAAGCTAATCGCAAATCGCTCTCTCCTGTGCCATCGTCCGTGCAGCCAGAGCGCAACCCAGGCGACCTTACATTACTGGATATTATGAATAAGCTCGATAGGATGGAACTGGAAAGTAGGGAATTGGCCAGAATGTACAATGAACAGCTTGAAGTAAATAATAAACTTCAGAGAGAGATCGACAATGTAAATACTCGAATGCTTGCTGTAGAGAATGAGCTGAAGAAGCGAAATGGCCTCTCTGGGACCGATCAAAGTGAAGAGTTTTATCAGGAGTACTATGACAGAGAGCAACGTAAGAATAATATTATCGTTTTTGGTCACCCTGAACCCACGTCGGAGGAGGAGGACGGTATGGAATCTGCTGGTAGTATCCTACAAAGTGTGTATCCAGCATTTGACTTATCAAATATTTTGCACGTATCGCGTCTCGGCCGTGCTCAAAACTCTGCCAGCCGTCCACGTCCTTTGAAAATATGCTGCAAAGATAGTGGCACTGTCGTCGGTGTGTTGAAGCAGTGCTACAAAATTAGGAATAACCCACGGCTTAAGCATCTTACAGTTGCCTCAGACAAAACCCCGAAACAGATGCAGTTTTACAAGAGTGTTAAGGAACAGTTGATGCAGCGCAAAAGCGCTGGTGAGGTAGACTTAAGAATAAAGCACATCAGGGGCATTCCCACGATAGTGAAAATTAACAACGCAATATCGGAAAACTAGATGCATCCAACAGGGGTAATCCCATTTCTTCAACTATACACTGCTGCTATCAAAACGTTCGCGGCTTAAACACAAAAATCCTGGACTTCCAAATAACTGTGGCGGCGTCTGGAATGGACATTATCGCTGTTGCGGAGACATGGTTAATGCCCGACATTGGAAATTCCGAAATTATCCCAGAATTTTATGATGTATATCGCAGTGACCGTGTGGACTCCACTAGGGGAGGAGTGCTTCTTGGCATCTCCACTTGCTTCAAATCACGCCTGGTCTTACTGCCGGGTTTGGAGGCAAGTGTACCACTTATAAACTTTGTCTGCTGTGGAACGGTTATCGAATCCTTCATTATTTTCATATTTGTTTTATATATACCGCCGTCAGTACCCAATGATGATGTGGAACTTTTTTTCGACACATTGGTTTCACAAAACCGTCTCCAAAATAAAAAAATCCTTATCGTAGGCGACTTTAACGCACCCCTTTTCGTTAACGACGAATCAGTAGATCAAAAGAGTAGAATTGTGAAGAATTTCATGGCCATATCTAACCTCTCCCAATATAATGGCATTCTAAATAGCCACAACCGAATGCTGGATCTTGTCTTGTCTAATGTTCCCTATAATGTTGTAAGGAATGACGTTCCTCTTGTAAATGAAGATGCATACCACCCGTCTCTCTGTTTTGATTTTGATGCTTCATTTACACATGTTAACAACTTTGCGCTAAACAAATATCCACCAAAAGAGTTTAATTTTCGAAAGGCTAATTTCCCTTTATTGTACGAATCTGTCCTTAATGCTGATTGGTCTGCTGTGAATGCCGCGACTGGTGTGGATGATGCATGCTCGGCCCTGGTACAGTGTTCTTAACCACATTTTTGAATGTTGTGTTCCCCTGAAAATAAAACGGAGTCGGAGCTATCCCTCATATTATACGCGATAGATTATTAATAACATCCGCAAAAAGGAAGTTGCACGTAAAAGGTACCTTAAATTCCGAACTCAACTTTGCTCTGAACAGTTTAACACACTTCGTAAACTAGTGAAGTCTCAAATTAAAAAAGCCTATATTGGGTACATTGAAGGTGTTGAGCTGTCTATCAAAAATGATCCCAAAACCTTTTGGCCGTTTATCCAGAGTAAAAAAAACCAGACCACAATTCCAGGCGAGATACATTTTGAAAATGCACAACACTCAAATGCGCAGGACATAGTTAATGCTTTTGGCACATTTTTTCACAGCGTCTACACTGAGTCCGTTCCAAGCTACGGTGAGTCAATTCCCTTATGTAATAGTAACATTGACTTACCATTTATTGAATTAAATGATATAATCAGAGCGGGTAAAAGGCTCAATAACAAGTTAACTGCGGGAGCGGACTCTATACCATGTTTTATAGTTAAAGATTGCCTTGGTGTTCTGGCTGACCCTCTGCAATTTATTTTTAACCTCATCCTTAAAACCAGCTGTTTTCCTTCAAGATGGAAAGTGGCAAAGGTAATTCCAATCCACAAAAAAGGCGATCGCTCATTAATAACTAACTATAGACCTATATCATTACTCTGTAATTTCTCTAAGATTTTCGAAATGGTTATACACAATAAACTTTATCCATTGGTTAGGGGCTTGCTGTCTGAGGAGCAACATGGCTTTATGAGTGGCCGGTCATGCATGTCCAACTTGTCCTGTTTATCCCATAATTTGTGCACTACTTTGGACAGTGTCGGCCAAGTCGACGTAGTATACACCGATTTTCGTAAGGCCTTTGATCGTATTGATCACTATATTTTGACCAATAAGTTGCACGCCTTGGGCTTTTCGGATAGGCTGGTGAATTTGCTTAAGTCTTACCTGTTGGATAGAAGTCAGTTTGTACAGTGTGAAGGCTTCAGATCATTCCTATTCAATTCCTCATCTGGTGTCCCGCAAGGGTCTAACTTGGGCCCTTTCCTCTTTAACATCTTTGTAAACGATCTTATTGAGACACTGCCTTGTTCGAAGCTTGCATATGCCGATGACCTTAAGCTTTTTGCCACAGTTACTACTACCCAGGATTGTATCACGTTACAGTCGTGCCTGGATATTTTGAATAATTGGTGCAAGGAAAACAGGCTTCTTTTGAATGTTGAGAAGTGCAATATTATCAGTTTCCACAGAAAAAAAATTCCTGTTGTATTTGACTATACCATTGAAGGTACTATATTGGCTCGGCTCAATCAAATCAAGGATTTAGGAGTGATATTCGATAGCCGTTTAACTTTTGTACCTCATGTTGACGCAACAAGTGCATCAGCCCTCAAGACGCTTGGCTTTGTTTTCAGAAACAGCAGACATTTTTCAAATCTATTCACCTTTAAACTTTTGTATTACACTTTTGTAAGGTCAAAGCTTGAGTATGGTGCAATTGTGTGGAGTCCTATATATGATTGTCATGTTAAATCTATTGGAACTGCCCAGAGACTATTTCTGTAATATTTGGCAGTTAAGGTAGATGGTGTTTACCCCCCAAGGGGCGTGGATCATCATCAGCTACTTGAGCGATTCAGCGTTCAATCTTTGGCCGACCGAAGAAAGGTTCAGGCAGTGAGGTTTTTATATAATCTCTTGCATCATATTATAGACTGCCCATACCTAGTCGCTCAGGTGTTGTTTCATGTTCCACGCATTGGGGGCAGATATAGTCGGACATTTCATCTGTGCACAGCTAGATCTAACGTCTTATCACAGAGCCCAGTGTATCTAATGTGCGCTGTTTACAATACTGTGTCGGGCGAATGTGATATTAATCATGATAGGCTGTCGCGGATTGTTGGTGCTCTTTCCATTGATTGATAATTAGCTTTAGGTTTCTTGCATTGGTGAAAGAAAATGTTTTTGTTTTTCTTTTGTTTGTTGCATTTATTATTATTATTATTATTATTATTATTATATCATATAGAAACAAGCTTTTTTTTTAAGATTGACTCTTTATAATCTGGACCCTTTCAAGTAAAAATTCCACAATTTATAAATCTCTGAATCTAAGAAATATGAGCAATTCATCAAGTCTGAAGTTTCATCTTGGACCCTTGAAATGAAATAAGTAATCAGAAAATCAGACCCGTTACTTCATGGATCCGAAAAAGAAGAATAAGATTCTGGCTCTCAGAAAAATGAGCAAATCATGGAATTCCAATCTTCTTCTTGAAGACTCTATCTTCATAATCTGACTTTGCTCTCAATTTGAGAAACAAGAATTAATAAATTGCGATTCTTCTACGAAATATGAGCTGAGAATTCTTGTTGAGAGCTATATTTTTACAATCTGAACTGTAGGTACCTACTTAGTTTCAAGATTCTCAGCTCAAAAAGTCAAAATTGAAGAATCTGAGTATGCTCTGAATAATGAAATATGAGTAGGTACCTGAGTCCTAAATCATAAAATTAGAAGCTGCATTAGATATGGATCTGCAAAACAAAAATTGGATTCGGGCTCTAAAAAAAACGAGTAAATCTCGAATCTTGTTCTTGAAAACTTTATCTTCATAATCTGACTGCTCTAAATTTGAGAAACAAGAATTATCAAACTCCAACTCTTCTACGAAATAATATGAACAGACCACTAGAAACGTCTTCTTCAAGGCTGCATTTTTACAGTCTGAACTTTACTTAGCTTCAAATTTCTCAATGCAAAAAGCCACAATGGAAGTATCTGACCATGCTCTAAAGCTGAGAAACAAATAGAGTTAAAAATATGAGTAAGTCGTGAAATTTGATACTATGTATAGCTTAAATGTATCAATGAGGTGTGCTTCAGAATCCTTTATTAATCTAATTTTAAGATCCACGATGAAAGAATCAGAGTTGAAAAGGATCTAGAGTAAATAATTCTGACTCTAAGAATAATGACCATATATTATCATGGAATTTAAATCTTCTTTTGGACAACTGCATTTTTTCAATGTAGGATGTAGGTAAGTCCGTTAAATTTGATAAAACAAGAATATGACTTGAAACTACACAGTATTTAAGTTTGAGATTTGCAATTTAGGAATCTCTTATTCTGGAATCAAAAACAAATAAATTCATAAAATTTAAATCTGCCCCTTGAAAACTCTGCAAAATCTCTAGATCCACATTAAAAATTCCACAGACAAGAATGAAATTGTTATTTTGAGAAATACGCTAGCGAATCATAATATTTGAAGCCTTTTCTTGAAAACTGTATGTTTATAATGTGAATTTTCATTTAGAAAAGAGATGGTCATAAGATTTTGAAACCTTTCCAGTTGATTTTTGGTTCTAAATACTTTCTGAAACTGCTCTGATTCATTTTTGATTCAATAATTGTCAGAAATCATAGTGTTATGCTTTATGTGCTCAATTTTGGTTCTGTTAGAGTCAGGAATATAATATTTATTGATTTAAAACCCTAGAATCTTAGAGTATAGAATGATAAAAATTGAGCTTTTTAAACTGCTTCACCTCTCCTTAACCTCCAGAATTGGAGTTTATTTTCCTAGTTTAACTTCAGTTCTATACCTAGTAGAGTCCAGAAATCGAAATTTCATGCGTTTTTACTCAATTTTTTAGCTCTAGGAGAGTCGTTTCTGTAATCTAAATGCCTCTTTAGTTGAGTTCCAGTTGTTCTAGAGTCAAACATGATCTTTTTGAGCCACTCTACAATGGTCAGGAATAGAATATTTTCTCGTTTCGGAGCTGAATAATAGGATGTTTCTTTTTAATTAGCTCTATACTAGAACCTTTGGGGTTTAAAGGCTTTTGTAGTTGAATCTTAATTGTTCTAGAGTTCAGAAATAAGAATTTCTCTCGTTCCAGAGCTGAAACATAAGATTTTCATGCTTCTTCAATTCAAATTTCAGTTCGAGAAGAGCCGGTTATAAGAATTTGAAACCTTCCCAGATGATTTTTAATTCTAGAAATATGAAAATTGAGTTTCTCAAACTGCTCTGATTCAAATTTAACTCAATAATCATTGTCAGAGAACATAGTTTTATGCCTCATTTGCTCAATTTTGGTTCTGGTAGAGCTAGAAATATGATGCCCTTTGATTTTTAAACCTAGAATAGTCCAGAATTCAGCTTTTTAAAAGCGCTCTATATTTCCACTGTATCTACAGAATGGTCAGAAATTGGAAAATGTATCTTCCTAATTTAACTTCAGCTCTAAAATAGAGCCAGTAATTAGAATTTCATGCATTTTCACTCAATTTTTCAGCTCTAGGAGAGTCGTTTCTGGAATTTAAATGCCTCTCTAGTTGAACTACAGTTGTTCTAGAGTCAAACATAATCTTTTTGAACCCAACAGAATGTCTAAGCTCAGAAGCAACAATAAGAAAATCTAAAGCTGCTGTAAATTTGAGAAAATTAATGGAAATTCTGGCTTCTCGAAATCGAAGAAGCTCGGTATCGGTATCTTTAAATCTGAGTAAAACTTCCTCCAGATGATTCATCATAATTATTTATAAAGAGCAATTTTCTCTAATGTTTCTACTACTTCACATGCTTCAGAACAATGAAATGTTGCTCAGAAATTCTGGCAATCGATTGCGCATAATCTTGACTAAATGTTTCTGAATCATGCTGAGTACAAAACTATAACCTCAGGCAACTTTTGTTTGCGATAGTCCATTATTTTGACTATTACCGACTCAATTGCAACTAGACCTTAATGTCCAGCCAAACAAGAGCCGGGAATAGTCCAAATTTTGAATATTATTGGCTGGATAATGAGACTATTTCCAAATTGAATTTGAATAAATCAAAATCCAAGGCAGTATATGCACTTTAATCTCTCCAAGAACTTGGAACTGAGTTACCTGTTGCTAATCCTAGAGCAGCTGTAAACGATTTAACAGTTTCCGAAGCCAATCCACCTCGAGTAGTGTCGAATACCAAATGGGGAGGATTGTTGTCGTCCAACATTTCTTGATAAGCTGCACACACTAAAACAAAGCTTATCTACTTATCTGAGAAAGTTGAATATTTTTCACACACATACATGCGTCCAGAATATTCTGAGAATCCGTCTTGTTACCGACAATACGTTTCATATCAACGCTGAGTCCTAATTTTGTGGTTTTTTTAATGTAGTTCAGAACTACATTCATCGATTTGTCTGCTACAGTGTTTCCTTCTTCATTGGCAAATACTAAAATTTATAATATTTGTGTTATTTTGATCAATGTTTTGGGAAATGAGGTTTCCATTTTTAGCTAATAATTGCTAGAAAAACTTATAATTATGACGTGGTTATATAGAAAAATGTTTTTAATTAGGATATATGTTGACTTTTTGTCAAGTTGTTCATAGTAGTGCTTTCCTAGAAAAAAGTATTTTGGAATTTACAAAGATTTTGCCTTTATGAAATCTTGTGATTGTTACAAGATTAGATGAGTTTAAGTTATCTACATGATTTCCGAAAACAGAAATTCAAAATCACTTACTGACATTAATATTTTGTGTTGTTTGACCAGACACTCCATAATAAAACAGAAACAAGAACAAAGTACAATAATTAAAATACATTATTTCAAATACTTTGAGTAAAAAATTTAGAAAATCCTTGGCCGCAGTTGCTCTAATTCTATATCCATTGCGTTCACTTTATATTGGAAATAAATATCATTAAAGGAGAGTTTTTGCTCTATAAAGTTTCTTTAGAAATTACGTCTTTTGATTTTGTTTTGCAGCATCCTTTTCCAGCAGTTGTTGTTCTACATATTGAGTTTCTCAAGTCTTGATTCACTTTGATATCCTCTTATGCTAATAAAGCTGTTTAATTATTACGAAACCCCTGCAAAAACTACCCTTAACATTTACGTTGCCAGGGCTTACAAGGATGTACACATGCATGTGTAAATAATTTATCATGTTTGGTTTTATTAAAAGAAAGCTACAGGCAATAATAATAATAGATCCACATTACTGTACAGGGCGTTTTATTTTATTATAATCAAATCAATGTATAATTTCAACCAAAAATGATGGTCCTCCTTTTGGGGTCATTTGCATTGAACCTGTTTATAGGATTTCATGGGTACAGGTAGTGGTAGGGAAAGCTTCAGTCTTGCATTGATTTTTCGAGTTTTGTGATTATAATTTTGTGTCATGAAAATCTTAGACCTTCTATGGGGCTTAAATTTTCCCTGAGGTATTCATTTTCATTAGATCGACCTAGATATTATATAACAAGCATTTTTATGGCTTTTTTCCAGTATTAAATATTAGTTTAAGCTAATAGATGTTTTGTTCACTATTGCGTGGTGAGGTCTACTCATATAAGCACTGTCTATACATACCTATATGATTTAAAAGAATCAATAATTTTATATGGGTAAGTGGATTATATTATTCTGATACTTTTGAGAGTGATAGTTTATATTATAGAAAATGCATTCATTGGTACATTCATCATCATTGTTACCTATAGTTAATGTATCAAAAAGGTTTATATCACTTATCTTAAAATTTTCGTTGCTATATTGGTATTTCCAAAAACTTGAAAAATTCTCTATTTATAGGTAGTTTTTCCAACAGCTCCTGGAATTTAATAATTATTTATTTTGTTTTGTTATCAATTAACTTAATTAATTATAAAAACACCTACCTCGAACATTTATTACCGTAAATGTTTTAATTTTGTAATTGGTGATTCATAAAGTTTTCATCTATGAATATTTAAATAAGTCTTTGGTTGATTTCAATGAGATTTTCTAACTGCCTTGAATTACCATTTCCCGGTCTCAATTTTTGTCTATTCTTGGCTCTTGAATTCTTACTTGTTTCTTCAAATACAAAGAAAACTCGAGAGCAAATACGAGAGCCGAGAATAGGAAAATTATGTCTTCACTTTGCTAATAATTTCTTCTCAATTTGCCTCGAATTCTTTCGGATGAAATTAAGTGGCCCAGAAAATCTACGCTCTATTGGAAGAGTGAACATTTCTTATCATTTAATCGGAAGTTTGCCTTAGGGATACGAGTAAGTATTTCCTATCACTAAACCATCATCCAGGTAGACAAAGCATACTTTTCACATAAGTCCTCGTTGTACGATTTCCATCAACCTTTCGAAAGTAGCAGAGGCGTTACAAAGTCCAAAAGGCATTACCTTGAATTGGTAAAGATCACTTCCAATGGAAAATGCTGTCTTCTTTGTGTTTTTCTCATCAATGCCCACCTGCCAATATCCACTTTTTAAATCTCAAGTAGAAACCAATTTGAGTCTGCTAATGTCTAAGGGCATCGTCAATTCTGTGTAATGGGTAGCTGGTCTTTCTAAGTGACATCATCACGCTTTATATCCAGCGAATTTAAAGAATGCAACACAAGTTTTTGTCTATTCTTGGCTCTTGAATTCTTGCTTGTTTCTAAACTTCACCAAATACAAAGAAAAGAGAGTCGAGAATAGAAAAATTATGTCTACACTTAACTAATCATTTCTTCTCAATTTGTCTCGAATTTCTTTGGGTGAAACTACATGGCCCAGAAAATTAACGCTCTATTGGAAGAGTGAACATTTCTTGTCATTTAATCGGAACTTTGCCTTAGGGATACGATTAGATATTTTCTTTCACTAAACCATTATCCAGGTAGACAAGGCATACTTTCCACGTAAGTCCTCGTAGTACGATTTCCATCAACCTTTCGAAAGTATCGGGGGCATTACAAAGTCGAAAAGGCATTATCTTGAATTAGTAAAGTACACTTCTGATGGAAAATGCTGTCTTCTTTTTGTTTTCCTACAGTTTGCAATAAACAGTTATCAATTTAATTTTTCATGCAAGGTGCCTATTCAATAAAAACCATGAATACTCGAGAAAATGTTCCTTTCCTTCATGTAAGTATATATTTTCAGAGTTAATTTTGACGAATAATAAAAAATAAAAAACACAAGGAAGGCACAAATTGATAATTATGATTAATTACGATAATAATTATATACTTTCTGCAACAAGATGCACAATTGCACAATAATTTACAATGCACCTGATGCAAAAAAATATCAATCAACTATAATTCTACAACTTCCGACTGGAAAAGTAACATGGAACTCTTAATGCATAAAACAGAGATAAAAAAAGCAAGGATGGCAGTTTTCAACTATGCGTGCGGCTAGCCGCTCTTCGAGACTATGGTCGTTAAACGCCAGTAGTGGTTCGATATGTTTCCGGTATTTCTATTGGACGCTCAGATCCGCGGTTCATTTGAATGCCAGATTTCAGTGGAGCATGTGAAAGTCACAAAAAGCTCGGGAGAAAAACTTCAAATGTAAAACTTGTAGATCTTTTCAAATACTACAAAAAAGCCTAGGTATCTATAAGTATCTCTCCATGGGGCACCGTTTTCGAGAAAATCGACCTCGAAAATTTTAACAAAATTACAAAGAATTTCAACTTTGACGGCTGATATCTCAAAGACGAAAACGGCCTGGAATCTCAATAAAAAAATATTTTGTAGGTAATTTTATTCTCTTTCAAAAGAGATATGATTCGAAACGATCGGTTAAGAAATAGCGGAGCTGTAACTGAAAATGTGGCCAGGTTCTAGAGGTTTCAACTGATGAGTTGCAGTTTTATTAAAGTAATTCTTATTCCGGCCTTGTCTCAATTCAAGTGGTTTTTTTACAATTTTAAATAGAGAAAATTCAAAAAGCTTGGAATAGAAACAAAATATTTCGTGTCTACTTGTCTACCAATAATTTTTTCTCAATTTCTGTTGAATTCCTTCTATATTTCTCAATTTTTGTCTATTTTCGGCTCTTGAATTTGTCTGATTAGAGAAAATTCAAGAGCCTGGAATAGGAAAAAACATGAATAATTTTATCTGTATTTTTGCATTTGAATAATTTCCTATTATTATTCTTTAAGAGCGTGCGTAGCATCCCAACTTTTCGAATGCATTTTAGGTCATAATTATGAAAGTAGGTATTACTTTAAAAGCTCTAAAGTACTGCATTTTTTATAATAGTATTAACTTTCCTGTCCTAACGCGTACGGAAAGTCTCTTTTTCCTACCGACTGCAATCGCCTCCGGCAAATTGGCACTTTCCACATAATTCAAATAAAGATCCATATGCGTTTTGGGTTGCATGTTTTTCCTCATATAGATGGCAGTCATAATATCATGCATGGTAAGTCAACTTTCCCAAATCAATTTTTGTCCATTCCTACTGGCTCTTGAATTTGCCGGAATAAAAAAAATTCAAGAGCCTGGAATAGAAAAAATTAGAATATTCACATTTTTCCATCTCAATTTTTGTTTAATTCGTCCTACAATCGTGCTTTCTCTTTCTCACTTATTCAAATTGAGTTCGATTTTTTAGTGGTGGCAATAGTTACCAAACATAGTAGGACGCTGATCCGATTACTGCTTAGACTTTATCTTTCTTTAATAAATACGATTGAATAGAAACAAATATCTCAAAAATGTAGTCTCAAGAGATTAGCTTTATTTTCAGGTTCATAGGTGTCATAAAAGACAAGCACATCACAGATATTTGACTTTTTCGCCATATTGAATTAGTGTTTTGACAGTTCGTTGGTTTGTCCTATTGCGTTTTGGTGGTTTTATAGGAAAAATAATGTTTTTTTTTTCTGGTGCAAGGATTTTTGTTAATTTTCAAAGAAAAATCTGATTTTTCATCAAAAAAAGTGAAAATTTTCCATTAGCTAACTTCACGTTTCGAAAACATCAAAGTAGGCTTTGGACAAAGGTTGTTTGAAAGAGGTAGGTTGTCTGATAACTTTTATGATGTCATCTGGATGTCTAAACATAATGCAAATCTCCATTAGATCTTCCTGATGACGTCATTCGTTTACCATTACCAAACAACCTATCAACTCGAGGAATTTTGGACGGCCATTTCAAAATGAAACAATTCAACGACCTGTCAAAACATAAATTAAATATGGCAGCAACAGTTGAACATCTGTGATTTGTGTTTTGTTTTTTGTTTATACACTACGAAAATACGTAAATTATCCTTTTTGAACAATAGAAAATCCCTTTAAAAATCTACAAATTACACACAGAGAACACGGTGGTCTGATGTTAAACGATATTTTTAGCGCCAATTCCATTGTTCGACCATAACCGCCATATTAGGTTTTGATATTTCTATACAGAAACCACTACAGAAACACACATC